AAGATTTTAAAGTTTGCTTGATTGATTGCCCAAGGATGTGTTAAAACTGATATTCAATCTCTGTTTAAAAAGTTCAAGCCAAATTGTTTTTATAGAAGATTTTCAAAACTGCTGCATTAATTAATCTGTTAAAATATCCGTTTAATCTGTTAAAAATCCTTTTAATCCATTAATACGTTCTTGATTCTTTAACAGATTTGTTTTAACTGATACGACAACGTTTATATCAATTAAAAAACTTTACAAAAAATCTTCTAAGTTGATTTAATCGATTGTTTCGCGATTCAATCGATTGAAATACTGCAAAACTTTCTTATAAAGCTTTTCAAGTTATTTTAAATGATAAAACATAGGTTTTAATCGATTAAAACTCTGTACATAATTTTTCGAAGTTGTTTTAATCGGTTGAAACGTGTTTTAATCGATTAAAATAGTTCTGATCGGTCATAACTCAATTCTGATCAATCATCCTGACCCTTTAAGTGATTTTAATCGATTGAAACGTGTTTTAATCGATTGAAAAAATTCTGATCGCTCATAATTCAAATCTGATCGATCACATTTGATTCTGATCGGTCATATTTGTATTCTGATTGATCATAATGAGTTCTAAATGGTTTTAATCGATTAAAATCAAGTTGTATCGATTAAAATACTGTAAAAACACTTCTTTGAACATTCTAAGTGATTTTAATCGATTCTTTCAAAACTATATCAGTTAAAAACATGTTTAAGAAAGCTTTTGTAAAAATACTTTGTTTTTAGTTGTTTAAAATGATTTTAGAGGCATTTCGCAAAATATTTAAGTGAAGAACCTTCATGCAGCAGAAAAGATAAAATGATTTTACCTAAGCATTCTATAGACACACTAATCCTTCTACTCTTTTATCTAAGTGACTTGTTGACCGCTGCAAAGTTGACTTTTGACTTTATCTTTGACTTCATCAAATCAATGAGATCTTTGCCAAATTATTTCAATAAGATCTTCATCACTTTCACATCGCATCTGAAAATTTTTTTATGTTATGGTTCTGGAAAAGAAAGTGATAATAGGTGATGATTTTGTTTTGAAAAAATTACTTAGCTTAGGACAAGCAAGATTCTAGGTTGGAGGGAGTTGTTAAGTGGTAAAAAGTTGATATAATTATGCTTTGAATTGTTATGAAATCACTTAACTTATGTTAATTCTAATATATTTTTCTCCCAATGTAGGATGAATTCGAGAATACCTTGATACAAGAGTAAGGAGCATAATTGGAGCAAAACTGGAAGAAGGAAGAAGATTTTCAGCATGGAAGTCGCTCGAGTGAGATGAACTCTCGCTTGAGCAAATATCAATTATTCTTCTCTGGAAGTTAGTCGCTCAAGCGTCAGTAAATTTGCTTGAGCGAATATCAGTTATTCCTCTCTGGAAGTCAGTTGCTCAAGCGCAAGAATATTCGCTTGAACGAATATTAGTTATTCTTCTCTGGAGTTCACTCGCTTAAGCGAGCAAATTGTCGCTTGAGCGAAAATAGGGAATTTTCGCTTGAGCGAGCATTGTCAGTTGAGCAAAAGACGCGAGACCCAATTTTTCCTATAAAAAGATAAGATGTGTTTTGAGAAAAGTAAGCGGTTTTGGAGAGAATAGGCATGACTACTGCTAGGGTTTTTTCCAATCTTCATCAATTCTTCACTTCTTCCACATTTGGAGCATTGTAATGGCCAACATGAGTGGCTAACTTCATTCTCTTGGGATTGGGTGCACTTCCTTTGAACTCTTTTGTGTCATGGTGATATTTTCAGATATTAATCTATGTTTTGATGTTGTTATTCTTATCTTTTGTGCCTTCGAATGATTTATTCTTGATGTTTGGGATATGATTGAAAAATATATCTTGAACCCTAGATCATGGTAAGAATATTTGTTACGTTAATTGTCAGGAAGGGAATGAATGTATCAATTGCTTAACACCCTAAACCTAATGCTGTAAAATCTCTTAATTGTGTGAGAAATCAACATTTATTAGGTTTTTTTATGAATTTCATGTGTGAGGAATCAACATGGATGATTTGAGTAGGTGGCATCAACATTGTTAGGTTAATTGATGATCTTAATTGGACATAGTCATTGCAAAAGAGGGAAAAGGAAGGAAGTCAATCCTAAATGCCTTTAATTGATCTTTTCTAAACAATTTACAGTTCCTTGTCATTAAATTTCAATTCAACTCTTTATACAAAACTCATTTTATTTTAATCCACTTAGTAAGCATATAATTGGGAATTTTTATTGAAACCGTTCCTCGTGGGATCGAATTTTATTTAATCGAAATACTATACTGCGATTGATAATTTTGGTATGTTTGCCAATAATTCAACACACAATACACAACATTTTTTTGCAGCTTGTACCTGAGTTCTTCCATTATCCTCTTAATCCAAATAGCTTCCTTACATGTCTGGGTGGTTGTCATGTACTCAACTTCTATAATAGACAGAGCTACAACATACTATAACTTGGATAACCAATTATTATCTCTCCAACAAAGGTAAACTCATCAAGATCATCTATAAAACCTGAACAAACATAGCATCTGACAACTAATTTTAATCCTCCGAAACATAATATAACATCTAAAGTTCCTTTGATAAGAATTATCTTGATAAAACTCATGCTCTCCACCGTAATTTTCTATTGATCTACTAACCACTCTCACTGTTTATATAATGTCTGGTCTTATACCGATCATGGTATTCATGATACTTTCCACCGTTGATGCATATAATACTCGAGATATTTTCATCCTCCCTACTTTATTGCTATGACTCATAATTTGAGGATAACTTTATAGAAAATGAGGTAGAAACTGACTTACATCATTGCATGTTGAAGTACTGCAAGACCTTCAATAAGTAATTTTTGATAAAGTCAAATCTTCCTATCTTTTATGTCCCAATGAATTTGCATCCCTAAAGTATTGTTTGTTGGTCCTTAGTTCTTCATATCAGACTTTCTAACCAAATGTTCCTTCAAAACTTCAATTTGAACTTTGTTGGAGCCTACCACCAACATGTCATCCACGTACAATGACAAAATGATAAAATCATTCTCCTCAAATCTATTGTAATAAGTACAAAAGTCTGAACTTAATCTATTGTAATCAAGGCTAATCATGAAGAATCAAATCTCTTGTATTAACACCTGGACACCCGGTTTAAACCGTACAAAGATTTGGTCAACCTGGAAACTAAGTTTCCTTTTTCTTTAAGTCTTGTGATTAGAGCAAACCAATCCTTTCTCAAAGTTCACCTTGAAGAGAAATCATATTTGTATCACAGCTAATAATAACCTTGTGGATAGTGAGATCCACAAGAAATACTCATTCACTATGTTAGCATAGTCTAAGAATTTGTCTTTCCTGAACTTTGAAAACACAAACTTTCTCTTGATGCGGTACACCTATAATCTCTTGGAGTAATCATTGTCATTACTGACACAAAATATTTGACCTCTCCTAGGAATAATATCGGTGATTCCAACACATTATAATAAACCAAGTCCAATATGTATTTCCTCCTCGTTGTACCCTTCTTCACAAATTTGTTATAGCGTTGTTGTTAATTTCCTCCCACCTTTAATCAGCGATGCCCACAAAAATTGCCTTCATCTTCATTTTTCACAATGAGAAACTATTCCCATTAAACTTTTTTATCTAATATTTTGTTGTCATGGTTTTAACCGACTTATGCACCTTTCACTATAAATAGTACTACCTACTGAAACAGCAACATAAATTGTTTGCCAGAACTTTTCCTAGACATGAACTGTCACACTACCACACTTTATATCCAATAACTAGAATAACTATTTTTTGATGCAGAAGATCATATTATCTGCAACCATAGAGCATACTAAGAATTTTCTCCAACACTATTCTAATGACTATAACAACGGAATAATATCATAAATAAGAAATCAACCATCGATATTGATACCACTGTTAGAAATCATAGTAAATGTATAAAATCACAACTACACTACTAGAAAAATGTCAAATAGTAACTGAAATCAGTGACTGAAAAATTTAGTTACTATCAGTGATTGAATCAGTAACCAAATTATTATTATTTAGTTTAGTAACTGAAATAGTAACTGAATTTTCGGTTACAAAAAATCAGTTACTATTTCAGTCACTCTTTTATTTAATTTAATTTTTTAAATTAATCTAATTATCTAATTATTTCACTCATTGATTATACCTTCCAAATTTTCATCTCTCGCTCATACTAATCTGCCCCAAATTTTCATGTCGCGCTCACATTAACCACTGATCTGATCTGACCTTGTAGCTCCCAAATTTTCATCTTCTTCACTCGCTGACATTCACTGCACTGATCCAAGCTTTGAATCTCACCCTTCTTGTTCGAGGTTAATCTGACCTAGGGCTTCATCTCTCCATCCCCAATCCTCCAACCTTTAGTCCTCCAGCCTTTAGTGATTTTTAACCTGAAATCCAACACGAAAGCATGAAACCCACCTCCGATGATTTGAAATCCAACCCAAGTGACTTTGAACCTCAACCCCAACCTCAACGTCGACAAACTCGAGGCCCAACCCCAACTCCGATGGCATCGCCTGAAACGCAACTTTGATTACTTGAAATCCAACCCAAGCGACTTCGAACCTCAACCCCAACCTCGGTGAACCTAACTCCGGTGACCTTAGTTCCAACCAAAACCCAGGAAATCTCATACTAGAACCCTAACCTTGATGAACTTGAATCCTAACCCGATGACCTCAAATCTTCCTTGAAAAGTAATTGTTTCAAAACATTCACGAAATTCAAATTGGTATGTATTTATTGGGCATAGATAATTTGTTGAAACAATTATTATGCAAGTTACTCTAATATGCAATTTTGTCCTTGCAACTGCAACTTTCTCTTCAAGTAAAATGATTGTCTGTTTTCATTAATCTCTCTTTCATTTTCTTCTAGTATAATTTTGTTTCGTTTCTGTCTATGACTACTCATGTAATCAACTTTGATCCATGCAGAAACCAAAAGACATTTTGTCCAAAAAAGAGTGCCCCATCAGGAAGTAAGGTTGGTACTTTCACTCGTGGAATGGTTAATGGATTCTTTTCAATTTTGTTCTTTATGGTTTATATTCAACCAATTGAGCCTTCTATGCATTTTAATTATAAAATGTAGGGTGCTCAACTTGAAAAACACATAGATGCCACATTGGGTAGTGGGAACTTGAGGGAAGTTGTTAAATTGCCTCCTGGTGAAGATATTAATGAGTGGGTAGCTATAAACCTTAAGAATCTTTAATATTTAGCTTTTGGAAAATAGTGCTCTAGTTTCCAACTATAAATTGTGCTCTTCCCTTCCCTGTTTCTCTTCCATATTCGCAAGATTTATTTTCTTAAACTTTTCTATACTATATTGACAATGCTTGGTGTTTTATTTATGCATAGCGTGGTAAGTTTTAGTCATTGGTGATTACAAAATTAAGAAATTTTTCACATTTTTATTTATATTTTTGTTTTTATGTGCATTTGTTGATTTCTTTAATCAAGTGAATATCCTGTTTGGTACACTTACAAAATTCTGCACACCAAATAACTGCCCTACAATGTCTGCAAGACCCAAGTATTTTTTTATCCTTCAACCAACTCTTTAAAACATATAAATCACACATTGGCCAATAACTTCTGCATGTGGATGAGTTTAGGTCTGCATACTTTTTTTGTCTTACTTTGTGGTAGTAGTGTGTTGAAGAATTCTCACATTCAAAGCTTTGTTCTTTAATTTTGCATTCAGGGGTTGTTGTTAATGTTTTATTTCACTTTCCTTTTGTATCAAATTGAATAGAGCCAAGCATAGTAAATTGGTTCTTTATTTCTGCTTTTTTGTAAATGCAGTGGTGAATTGAGTATGGTACATGTGTGTTGTATTTCAACTTTCATAAATGTGATGCACTTTTGGGTAGCTGTAAGGTAAAAAGGGTGAAACATGTTAATGATTAAACTCCTGGATATTTTCTGGCATAATGATATTGATTTAGGGGATTGGAAACACTACCATGCAGCAACTTAGATTAGAATTATGATTACAGTTATATGTCAACTAAAACTAATAGTTGATAACTCAAGATTTCTCTGCCACATTGAGAAATATTGTCGTCATCCCTTAAATAACAAGAAAGGCTTTATGAATGTTATCTAGTAACTTGTCTTGTTCAGTATAACTATAATAATGAATTCCATTTTTGTAGTTCATTCTTACAAAATGACTTTAATGTGTAGACTTTATAAATTTAAGGTCACTTGTGGGTTGTTGATTCCTGTTGAAATGATTATATGATTGCGTGAATATGAAAAGTTGAGACACAATGTTACTGAAGTGAGGAACTTTAAATTGCCCTCCATCCAGTTTGCCTGGTCATCTATTGATTGTGGGTTTACGAGTCTGTTTATAATTTGTTTGGGTACAATCTTACTAAAGTGAGGAACTTTAAATGAACTCTAAATAGATCACTTGTTTCCATCATGAGCCTATCTCTGTCCAGTTCCATTCCAACTCAGTTATATGTTATGATTGATGTCACAACTCCAACTCTGTCCATGTGGTTATAACTGGACCTGGGATTAAACAAAACAATCATGTTAGTTCCAAAAATATGTAATTTACCCTCATTTTGTGATGCAGGGCCAGTAAGAAAAGAAAATAGTAGCTGGGTTATGGTTGTAAATGTAGATATTTTTATTTTTGCAATTTAATCTGCAAGTGATGTTTAATCTATAGCACATGCTAGAAAATATGTTTAACTAGTAGTAAGCAAGTGATGTTTAATCTGTAGCACATGCTAAAAAATAGAGCATATGTAATAATGAGCTTCTTTATTGAACATTTAACCATATTATAATATTATATAAAAAATTTGCATCCTTAATCTCCCCCAAATTGCAATACAGATGTTATTCAAATAAATGTCATTTGTATAAGTTTTGTATGATTAATTTAATTCTATATTAGCTCATGGTTTTGAAGAAAATGATTTTTATCCAGTGCTTTTAATGTGCCAAAGTATATGATATTGTTTGACTTTTACATTTTAGAGAAAATATTTTTTTCTACAGTATCAAAGTGGTCAATTAATTTATCTAATTATCTGTTGAAAAACTTTGAGCCCTACTGCTTTGTAGTAACTTGCTTAGTAATGGGATAAAAAAGAAACCATTATCTTCATGTGTTCTCTATTGTACACCCATTTAGTTACCGTAAGTTTGAAATTCTGTGTTCCTAGGCTTTATTCACCTTGTTGCATGGAATCGTCAGCAGAAGAGTATTCTGCATTTGAACAGAAAGTTAGTAGGACAGTGTACTTTGATAACCTGTCACCACAGGTCACTAAATATGTGATAAGAACTACTCTTGACCAGTTTGCATCTGTGAAAATGTCAAGTTTATTCCTAACTATATTGGACCAAGCAATCTGCCTCAGTGTGCGTTAGTAGAATTAGACTCCGCCAAAAAGGTCAAGAAAATTGTCTCAATGGTAGGGGAAATATTCTTTTATGATGTCTGGGATGCCACGACCAGTAAGGGCTCAGCCTGCTGTGATGGAAATGTTTGATGATCGGCCAATAAAGCCTAACAGAAAGATAAAGCTCCGGTGGTTGAACCCAGATGAACCTGATTTTGAGGTGGCAAAGCAATTAAAGAATCTTACACGCAAACATAATGCAAAAATAGATGTAAGCTGGAAGATCACATAATGTGAAAGGCCTTCGTTTGGTACCATAAAGCTAAAGTTGCCTTTGTCTGGATATATTTTTCTTAAATATTAAATACAAAACCATTTTGAACTTTTTCTTTCTTGGTTTGCTACACCTCTAATGATTACATTTCAATATTGCTTCTCAAACTTTCTTTATTCTTTTTTGTAGAATACTATCTAGACTTTTTTGTCGTACATGATTTTGTTCACGATTTTGAGTAATTCTACACACTAATATATGGTGTTCTTAAATTTGTACTTGCAAAGGTATCATAGACTTTATATCATGCAGGTTGTACAGATTTATCTTTTGTTGGATAAAGCTATGTTGTTCTTTATTTTCTTTATCTAACCTCTTCATCCTCTCTATTTTTTGATACAACTGTAATATTGGTTGCCATAATTTACTACTATTCTCTATTTTTTAATATTATGCTTCTAGATTCCTTATAGTTGTTTTTTTTTCCGACAATTTTTTCATTTGATGAACTACGTTGGCTCTTTATTTCACCATCCTTATTATTCATTGATAACTTACTATATTTGAGCAGAATAAAAGTACTGGGGAACTCAACTTCTTAACTTCTTTTATGAATTTTGGTGGTTCAATGGGTAAGCCATTATGACTTTAATAAAATTTAGATAAAATTTTCCATTTGTTTGAAGACTAACATTTTTTTATTTGTTGCAGTTAGAGTATTCACAACTATCCAAGAAAAGGCACCAAACAGTGGTAGGTTACTTCTTACTTGTTTTCATCTTCATGAGTTTAGTTATTTTCATCATTGTCAATGAATGTTAACGTAGGTTTTGGGTGCTAAAAATAGTGTTTATTCGTTTTACTTTTGAGAATCTTAGTGCTGTTTGGTTGAAGAAAATGTTTTCTATCTTCATTTCTTGGTTTCACAAATAATCACAATATGTTACTTTGCATTCATGGTTTTGTAATTTCTAAAATAAATGCCTAACTTCTAAAAATCATAGAAAATAATCCAATGATCCAAATTTGACATATTATATACAAAATTAAAGCTATTTGAATCAGCTTTACAATGCACTAAGCCTCACCCTCAAATTCGATCTGTAGCTTGAGATATTGTCTTTGCAATCAACACATGTCATTATTGAAAAGTTACTCCTGGCAGAATTCAATGACTAGATTCAAATTCAAACTAGGCCCAAACCTGACATACACAAATTACAAAATATATATGAATGTTAGTTTTCTAAACCAAAAATAATTATTCAAAAACTCAAACCACATCTCCAGATATCACTAATTTAGTGCATAGAGGTTAAAAAGGCTTTAAAAAAATTCGAATTAACTAAAATGCACAACTAAACCTAATTATGTCTAAGTATTAAAATTTAATAAAAAACAATGTTATTGATCAACAAATCAGCCCAAGATAATTGGGATTAACATCACTAAACATGCATTAAAATGCTCTTATCAAGGGCCTATTCTATTTCTGATTTTTTTGAAAGACTCTTGTTTTTTTACAATTTGGTCTTATTTCATTATGTACATGTACACATTAATTAGGTGCCATTTCTTTTACTATTTAGTATGTGTTGAATATTTAAATGTAGCAGTGGATGGTTTTGTTTCTATTGACTTAAATGGACATTGGAGTTACTCTTTATTAGAAAACTTGGTATTGAACTTAAAGTCATGTAATTGTCTTTTGCAGCAAAGTTTGGATTTGTCATATTTAAAGGGTCTTTATGAGTTTGCATTTAACGTCTCAGAAATCTCTTACCCATTGAATGCGTCGTTTTCTTCCCCATAATTGTTATAACTTATTTAATCCATTAACCATTTTGACATGCTTTTTTTCTGCAGGGAATAAATCGTGAAACCAGATCTTGTTGGGCTGCAATTTGGAAAGTTCTTTAAACACGTCTACTTCCACCATCTTAGGTTTCCAACTATCAATATCTTCGTACTACTGGGCAGTTTTAGTGACAGAGGTATAACTTCTAGCAAGGCCTATAAATTGTGTAATTATATTGGCATATGATAGGACATGGATGCTAGAGGTTTTAATGTAATTATGTTGTGGATAATTATATGATATATTAGTTATTAAAATAAGTCATTTGTTGGCATATGACAGAATATGGATGTTTGTGAAAATCGTAGTTGGATGTATAATAGACTTGTACCTGGTCGAAAGGGTTATACTAATGCATTTTTAAATGGTGTGACTGAATTTGTGTCATTTGCTCTTCAACATGCAAACATGTCAAATGGAAAAATTAGATGTCCATGTAGTAAATGCAAAAATAAGAACTTTTTAGATTCTGAAGATGTTCAAGTCCATCTTTATCGTCAGGGATTTACACCTGCATATTAGTATTGGACATGTCATGGAGAAATGGATCCAAATATGTGTGATGTGAATAATATGTATCCAAATTCATCTAATAATGCACACGAGGTTCATAGAGAAAACTTTGACAACATGATTCATGATGCTTTAGGTGCAGAGTTTGTGAGTCATTTTGATGAAGAAAATGAGCAGTTTCCAAATATTGAAGCAAAGAAGTTTTATGATTTATTACATGCTTCACAAAAACCATTGTGGTCAGGATGTACTAATCACACTGAATTATCTGTTGTTGTTAGATTGTTGACAATTAAATCAGAGGGAAACATGTCCCAACGATGTTTTAATCAAACATTGACTCTTTTGAAAGAGACACATCCTGTAGATAATTTTATCCCAGAAAATTACTATAGAACCTTAAAATTGGTTTCAAAACTTGGTTTATTAGTAGAAAAAATTGATTGTTGTGTTGATGGGTGTATGTTGTTCTACTCAGATGAAGATAAGCAACTATCTACATGTAAGTTTTGTCAAAAACCTCGTTATAAGACAAAAAAAGTGGGTAGAGGTAAATATAAAAATGTTCTTGTGAAGAGAATGCACTATTTACCCCTCATTCCTAGGCTTAAGAGATTATATGCTTCAATGAGTTTTACTTTGCATATGAGGTGGCATTGTGAAAATAAGAGAAAGGAGGGACATTTGTGTCATCCATCAGATGGAGAAGCATGGAAACATTTTGACAAGACATTTCCTGATTTTGCAATAGAACCGAGAAATGTAAGATTAGGATTATATGCTGATGGTTTCACCCCATATGGTCAATTAGGAAAACCATATTCTTGTTGGCCAGTAATTATAACTCCTTACAATTTACCACCATAATTGTGCATGACTACTCCCTATATGTTTTTATAACTTTAATTATTCCTGGGCCAAAAAATCCAAAGGAAAAAATAGATGTATATTTGCAACCATTGATAGAAGAGTTAAAAATATTGTGGAGTGAAGGTGTGTTGACATATGATATTTCCAAAAAACAAAATTTTATCATGAAAGTTGCATTGATATGGATTGTTAATGATTTTCCTGCATATGGTATGTTGTCTGGTTGGAGTACAGCTGGAAGATTGGCTTGTCCATATTGTATGAATAATTCTAAGAGCTTTTGGTTGGATAGTGGTCGTAAGTTTACTTGGTTTGATTGTCATCGTCAATTTTTGCCTATGAATCATGCATATCAAAGAAATAAGAATACATTTTTAAAGAATCGCATTGAAGATTCTCAACCTCCATTGATATTTTCTGGAGATGATGTGTGGGAGCAAGTTGGTTATTTTCCAAACGTAACTAAGGAAGTACAATTTACATGTTATGGTTGTGGTGTATATCATAATTGGATAAAACAAAGCATTTTCTGGGAGTTACCATATTGGAATTCCAACCTATTAAGACATAATCTTGATGTGATGCATATTGAGAAAAATGTGTTTGATAATGTCTTTAATACAGTGATGGATATCAAAGATAAGACTAAAGATGATATGAAGGCAAGAATGGATGTAAAAAAGTATTGTCAGATAAAGGAGTTAGAATTGCAACAATTACCTAATGGAAAAGTTATAAAGCCTAAAGCACTGTTTGCTTTATCTAAGGAGAAAAAAATTGTTGTCTATAAATGGATTAATGAGTTGAGAATGCCTGATGTTTATGCATCAAATTTGTAGAGATGTGTAAACATAGAGTAAGAAAAAATGATTGGAATGAAAAGTCATGATTTTCATATATTTATGGAGCAGTTGTTGCCTATTGCTTTTAGTGCACTGTCAAATCAAATTTGGAAACCAATTGCTGAGTTAAGTAAATTCTTCAAAGATCTATGTTCAACTATTTTGCGAGTGGATGACTTGTTATTAATGGAACAAAACATTGCAATTACATTATGTAAATTGGAACAATTCTTTCCACCTGCATTCTTCAATTCAATGGAACACTTACCTATTCATTTGCCTTACGAACCAAGAGTAGGAGGTCCTATTCAATATCGGAGGATGTATCCATTTGAGAGGTACTACTTTTTAATTATCAAATTCGAACATACATACTTGTCTTATTTGAAATTATGATAACAATGTGATGGTGTTGTATTAGGTACTTGAATAAGTTAAAAAAAAATGGTTAAGAACAAGGCACGTGTGGAAGGTTCAATATGTGAGGCATATCTAGTGCAAAAGACTTCTCATTTTTATTCATATTATTTTGAGACTCATGTGCAAATAATGAGAAATAAAGTCAGTCGCAATGATAATGGAGGTGAGAATGTACAACTGAATTGTGTATCAACAATTTTTAATCATCTTGGTCGCTTTAGTGGAAGATATTCATGTCGATACTAAAATAAGAAAGAATTAGAAGCTGCACATTTGCATGTATTACTTAATTGTGAAGAAGTTCAACCATTAATCAAGTAAGCACCATAATTCATTTTGGCATGCATTTTTCATGCATAAAACCACTAACACAATGTTATGTGTAAATGTTAGAATATTTGAACAATTTCTAGAAGCAGTGAATCTAAACATCACTCGAAGAGAAATTGAGGCTCGGATTACTTCCGATTTTCCTAGATGGTTTCAAACATATG